GGGAGCGCGGCGGCGCGTGGCCGCTAGGGGGCGTGCGTTGGGACGTCACCTCCTAGATTGTCAAACGCGGTAATTGTTAAAGGGCTGGAGACTGATCGCTCAGGTAACGTCAGCCACAGCCTTTTCTCTTCCTTTATTTCGCCGCCTTTGCAACATACTCGTTTGCTGGGCTTCGTCTTCTGCGGGCTTTGCTTGTTGCCCGTGTCGCTTTTGGCTGCTCTTTTCCATTTCCATCTGCCTTTCAGATCCACAGCGACCAACTTCAAACGAACAAGGAAAGAAACCTTTTTTACCTGGTAAAACACTGCCCCCCAAACACCCTCCTCTCCCAGCCACCCGTGTAGAGGCTGGAGTAATGGAGTTAACAAGTCTGAGGACTGCGGAAGCAGTGACCCCGCAATCTTGCTTTATTACTTTGCAACACTGTAGCTCTCTTTGTGGGTCACGCCAGAAAGGGGATTTAAATGAAGCGGAGAACTGTAATATTTAGATGTGGGCAAGCTGTAGCTACTCTTTTCCGAGTCCTACAAATGATCCGTCTACTGCTTTAGGATGGTTTGGGATTGGACTGTGTGGGTTGTTAAATGACCTTTACTGCTATGAACACAACTTGAAGGAACCTGTACTTTAAAATCCTCTTGCTCGGAGAGTTGTTTTTAAAAAACAAAAAAAACTTTTTGAAGCTTTTAAACTAAATGCAGCATAAAAGTCTTTTCTGCCATTAAGACTGTAGTCAAAAGGGTCAGTGCAGCACAGATTTTCAATATCAGCAATAAGTGAGTTGATCCAAATATACAAATGGGAATTTTTTGTTGTCTGAAGAGATGGCAAAATGTATTTTATTTACTGCTTTATTCATCATAAGCGCCAGTGTTGCTTTTAAAGTAGTTTTTCATTAAAAATAAAAGCTCTTGCTTACCTTGCAAACAGGAAGTGCATATTCCTTTAAAAAATATAAACCTGTAATTCCTAGTTACATGATTGCCATCCCTGGCCTTTTACAATACATATGTAATGGCAAATTCCATTCTGTGACTAATGTGAGTGAAAGTCTGATTTCTCTTTTGAATCTTATTTAACCAAACCATTTCTTGTACTTTTTTTAAACTGCTTTCTCTCTCTCCGTGTATATATATCTATATATCTATATATATAGATATATATATATATATGTACAGGCTTATGAGACAATGAATGCAAAACGTTTTTGACATCTTTTTGTGGGCATATATTTAAAGAGCTAATCTGAGAGTGGGATGGGCAGGAAGGGTTGATTGGCCTTGGACCCCTCCTGAATACAGCATTACTTAGTAAGAAGCAGTTGTCTGTGTTCATTGTTACACTGTGGATAGGCCCAACAGAGTAATACTTCACAAATAGTTTGGTACATTTCAAATCTAAAGGAGGATTTAAAATCTCTGAGACGAACTGAGCACCTCTTTGACTAGGTCTAAAAAGAAAGAACAGCTTTCAGCCATACTTTTAATCTAATGTGCTTCCTGATCAAACTGTTTTTACTTCCTTATTGCTTTGCCTTAACAGGCCTAAACAGGAACCTGGAGAACTGCCCATTCAGCCTTTGTTTTATTTATTGTTATTATTGAAAATAACTTTGTTGAATTGTTACTTAAATGATAGCAGAAAATTGTGTCCTGTAAACATAGTCTTAAAAGGAATCTGTCCAATGTTGGTATGGGGGTTGGGAGAAGTCCTCTTGGAGGAGGATACCCCTGTATATGAAGAGATTTCCTTATGAAGCATTCCTTTTCTAATTCAACACCTTTTTGCTCTACTGCCTACTAAAAAATCTGTTTCAAAATGTACAGAACATTTTTCCTAAGCTAAACCTACAAAATGTTTTTAGTTTTTCCTGTACCACAATGTATTACTTAGAAAGAGGCATTTTGGAATCTGAAGTTTTTATTGCTTGAAAGAAAACTGAAGCAATAAACCCAGGTTTCCAAATGCAGTCTTCTCTGGAGTTGGAATTCTTCGTTCAAGTAATTTTAAAGCACATTTTACAATATTTCCTATTTGCAATAAAGCACTTTACTTTGGGTTCTAGTGAGGCATTTGAATTGCATGCAATTTCCTGAAATTTCACTCACTCACTTACAGAACTACAAGACTGTCAAATCAGTCAGAGTAAGCTTTTGGAGTATAAAGGGATATGAGGGATACTGGCTTTTCTCAGAAAGCAAATTTAAGATAGCAGCTAAGTTATTAAAAGGGTAAAAACTATTTCCTGGATTTACATATCTGTCAGCATTAGAAAGGCTATTTGGACTGCCTTTATAGCCCTTTGGAATACACTGGGTACTGATATCTTTTGGAAAATCTCACATTTTACTTTTAAAGACTACCTCTTACCAACTGTGCAGGAGGGCAGTCAATGTGTACAGAGTAGGAGTAAATGGTGGTGTGGTTCTCTTCCTAGAGAACAATCTGGGACAGGAAGAGACAACTCCCTGAGTCTTTGCCATGTCCAGATGATTTGTTCAGTGTGTTTGGGGTGGAGGGGGAGTGGGCAGGTTGTAATTAACCCCTAACCATCAGTTTGGGGCAGAAAGGAAACCCCTTACTCTAACCCATTAAGGATTTTTGGAGGGGGTGTCGTGATGCTCGTGGAGACCACTTTGCAGGAAGAGGGCTGAGCCCCTGGGTACCGCAGAGGGGAGATCTAGTGCCGCTTGTGTGGGATGCTGGTGCCGTGGGGGTGAGAGCAGACGCCCTGCCAGGCCCCACCATGGGCAGCAGCCGCAGCAGCCTCAGTGTAACTGACATGCTCTTCTCCAATAATCACCCTGAACTGTAGCCAATTGTTGCAGGATTCGGCCGTGGAACGTTCCCGGGAGGGAAGCATTGTGACGTCAGCGCACCTACTAATCCTCCCAACCGAGGGGGAGCCTGGAGCCATGAGGTCATCGCAGCGGCCGGTGTAGCCATCCCGGCGGCAGCAGCGGCAGGAGCAGCGGCGGGGGAGGGGAGAGCGGCGCGGAGCGGGCAGCGGGCCCGAGCCCGAGCGAGGCCGGCCGGGAGATCGCAGCCGCGCTCCAGCTGCACCGAGGCGGGCGCCGAGCTCCGGCAAGCATGGAGGAAGCTGAGGCGAAGGAGCTGCAGGTCGGCTCCTGGCTGCCGGTGCTGGTGGAGCAGATGGTGAACGACACATTGGTGGTCACCTTGAGCTGCGGGGAGAGGCGTTTCACTGGGATCCTCCTAGACTGCACTAAAAAGTAGGAGCCCGCAATGCTTTGATTGTTACCCGAAATGTTTGCAAAGGGGATTGCAACTGAGAAGTTTCTCTCCAGCCTGGGGCCTGCTGCACAGAGAGAGCAGAGCAGCTGGGGAGGAGGAGGGATTAGGCCATAATCTGATTAAAGAGTTAAGGTTGCATTGCACATCGGAGTTGGGGGAGGGGATGCTTCAAAAGGAGGGGGGTGGCTTTAAAGAAAAAAGAAGGCTCTGGGCTTGGGTTGGACTTCTTTTTTTCTTTCTTCTTTTTTTTCCACCTTTCTCTCTTTAAAAATGCTTTTTTTGGGGGGGAAGAAATCACTTTCAGAAGGTGGCTGCCCAATTACTACCCCAAATCAGCCTAGCACCACTACTTAGTACCTAGGGTAGAGGGGTCTAAAAGATGAGGGGGGGGGGAACCCAGCAATGTGAAAGCATTTGAAAGTAACACTTTTATGGCTGTAAAATATGAAGGAAAGTGTCCCATCAGACAGGGAATTGAGCCCATCTGCTGAAGTGCCCTCAATGTTAAAGGGGTTGCTTGCAGATTTCAGACTTCATGTTGGAGCAAAAAAGACATGCTTTTCCAAAGAGAAGGTTTGATTGAATAACAATATTTCAACTTAGCAAAGTTCTTACAGCTGATGTGCTTGTGCAGTATCTTGGGGTGTGCTGGTGTGGGTGCATAGACACACATGATGTCAGAGGCTGCCATAATTATAGACTTTCTTTCTTTGTTCATGAGTACCAAACCCTTCAACAGCTTTATCTTAGAGAAACTATCTAATGTTGCCCCTCTTATTTTTGCATTATACAAAGCATGAACATATTCGCTTTAAGTAGGTTATAATTTTAAACAGAGATGACCAGTTAAGTGAAATACTTTATTTGCCATGTATTTGGAACTAATACGCTTAGCAAAAAGAATAGTGTAGTAACAATATTGATTCGCATATAAGTATATAGCAATGTACATAAACATATTTCAAGTTGACATATGCTTTACATTTGTGATTAAATAATCACAAAACTCTTAACAAAAAAAATCTGTTAGCCATAATAAAATGTATAACAACTAATTAGGTGACTAATCCTTAGTTATTGATAGCGGAGTACTTATACTTCCTACTTGGCAATCCATTTAAACATCTATGAAATAAACTTTATAAATCTGAAGTGATGTTTTTAAAACAGTCTGGCTTCTGATTGGCTAAAGAACAGCATATATGCCAATTATCTAAATCATCTGGAATACAAGTATCTTTCTATTTAATTCTTTGGTGTGATAAAGTCTCTGGAATATATCAATGCATGATAATGGGATATCCCTACTAGATGAGTGGTATGAGAAGGATGAGACATTAATCAAATGTAAATGTATTGGCTTTCCTTCAGTGTTTTATTTTCAGAGTGGGAACTGTAAATGTCTCCTGCTTTTTGAAGGCCTCAGATTTTTCCTTAATAAATGCCTAGACTTTGCTATAGCTTTTTTCCAGCAGTGTGAAACCATTATCCTTTGACAATTATCCTACTGGCTTTATCTCTTAATTAGACGTGCCAGAAACCATTAATATTAAAGTCACATGACTTAACATATGGTTTCATGTGAATTTTAGCCATCTACCTCATTATCTGCAGTATGTGTGAGCATAGCACTAATACATGTCAATCTAAAAAATTTAGTTAATTGGGGATTCATGTGTTTTCCTTTCCATTGTCCAAGCAGCCAGCTAGCATTACTAATATTATCAAATATCCCTAGAAATCCTTGCATTATGTAGTGAGCCACTGGAGAGGGACTGCAGCTTTATTGATTTCTCTCTCACTGGAGAAGCTGAAGCCAATAATGTGGTTTCATTCCACCATTTGAATTTGCCTTTCTGGAATTTCTGCTGTAGTTCTGTATTGTTTTTCTTGTATCCCTGCAGGAGTCAGCCACCCTAAAATGTCAGTGCTCTTTCAATTTTTTTTTTTTTTTT